GGTCCAAACTGAATTAGAGGCTCAGCCTCTGGGCCTGATTCCGGCCCTGGTCCTAGCTGTGTACCTGGCCACAAAGCGGACAACAGCACATTAGTAAAAACACATCAGTAAATAAATAAATAAGAAATCAACTTAAAGTTGAAGTCTTTCTGATGCAGGCCTAAGTAAAATGGCCGTAGGGCCTCCAGGTTGCGGTGACGCCACCTGGGGGCCCTTATCCAACCTCGGGTCCCGTGAGGGGCCCGTGTGGAGGCTCTCAGCATGTAACAGTCTGCAATGGTGTTTCCCTCCACACGGGAGGAGGTACGAGTTGCTTGGAGGCCGCGTGGCCTGGAAGTCACCGCCCAAGAGGCAAGCAGGCTGCTATATCTCCAGGGGGAGCAAGGGCCTCCTCCTCATTCTTCGGTGTGCAAGTTTGGCGACACACTGCATGGAGCGCCGGCTGGAGCAGCACTGCTGGGGAGGAAGGAGCGCCCAGCTCCCCACCTCGGTTATGGTGGAGGAGCACGGGCTGAAAGAGGAGAAAGCCGGGGACTAGGAAGGTAGAGCGCCAGAGGTACTTGCCTGGCTATGAGCGCTGCATCTGGAAGGGCCCAGTTCGGGTAGACTACACCAAAAAGCTTTTGAGGCAGAGTCAGGCATGGGGGCCTGAGCTAGAGCAGCCATAGCTGCTTTGAGTTGTCTTTTGCACATCAGGGCAAGGCCCTAGCAGTTCGCCATAGCCTCGGCCTTCAAGAAGATGAAGAGGAAGGATAAGGGTGGCCATGTGTGGCATACTGCGTAGCCACACGGGCCCTGCAGGGCCCGTCCCGGACATTCAGCCTAAAAGCCTAAAACTTAGGGCTTGCAGGCCCTGGTCGTTTCAGCCTGAAAGCTGAAAAACGAGGGCCTGCAGGCCCTACTCCGTTTCAGCCTATTTCTGGGTCTTTCAGACCCAGAGGTTTTCCAGCCTGAAACGGAGGGCCTTTTTCAGGCCCTCATTGTTTCGACCACCCCTAAGACTCAGGCACGAATACAGGGTTTCGGAACAGGCCAGAAATAGCCTGTTCCTCACGAGCTTGAGCAGAAGCTACAGCTGCAGCCCCTGCCTCCCTTCGGCATTGGCAAGAACAGCCTCCTGGACTGCTCGCACGAGTCAGGAGGCACACCCGGTAGTACATAGGAAGTTCCCATGCACTTCACGGGTAGGTAGTTGTCAGTAGGCACGAGTAGTCTTCAGGATTCGGCCGCAGCACTCAGGAGGAGCGCTGCAGTAGTCTTCAGCGCTAGGCAGTAGTATTAGCGCTAGCTGTAGTCTTCGGCGCCCTAATACTAGCTGTAGTCTTCGGCGCTGGGCGCCCATAGCCATAGAGTAGTCTTCAGCGCTGGGCGCTGGTAGGCGGTAGATCGTAGAGTGCGGAGAGAGACTGGCGGAGGCCAGTGGTACTTACCTGTGGCGCCATCGCTCCAGCTCCATCTTCGAGGTACCTGCATCACGGCGCCAACTTCACAGGTTAGTACTCGACACAGAGAGAGAGAGAGAGAGTTCTTCTTCTTCCTCTTCTAAGTCCACCATCTCTTCTCACCCTCTCGCCACCTGACTTCTCAGACTACGACAGAGAGAGAAAGAGTTGTGACTTGAGACTTGACGACATTGGATCCAGACTGGACATTGGGATTCAGACATTTCGACGAGGGACTATTTGGGCCTRTACCGAGACTTGGTGTTGACGACATTCCCATCTTCCCCTCCTCTTTCGTCTAACCCCTCCTTCTTCGTCTGTGTATGGTTGGGGCTGGCGCAGTCTTCTTGTGTGAAGCGCCAGACCCCCTTCACACCAGATAACGATGATGATGATGTGTCTTCAGAGCTGCGTTGCAATAGTGATTGTTCGGATCATTCGTATCTAAGTCTTCCGCTTCTCCTTTGTATTGAGAGGTCGGTTCTTGTTCTGGTCTGCACGTTACAGTATGCAACAGTTTGGTATCGGAGCGGACCTCTCCTTGAGAGGACCCGCTCAATCAAGTAGCCAGCTTGCTGACCTAGTGATCACTCATTAGTAACGCAAGTAGGACTTAGTCAAATCTCTGAAGAAGAAAAAAAAATTTGCAACAACTATCTGAAAATTTCTGATATTCGCATTTCGTTTTACCTGAAAATTTCTGATATTAGTAGTTCGTTTTTACGTAACAAATATCTGAAAATTTCTGATAAATCGCATTTCGTTTTGTCTGAAAATTCCCGATAGTAGCTTTTCGTTTCTCTGATATTTTCGCATACATAGCTGAAATTTCTGAAGTTAGTATTTCGTTCTCTAGGCATATTGGGATAACGATAGAAGTGGTCATATTCTCGGAAACTGGAATTATTCTTTTCTGAAAATCGAATTCCATTCTATCTCGCAAATTTTTTTTGAAAACCGAAATCTTGCGAAGCCTACCAATATTGCGTTAAGCATATTCGGAGTTTGCCATATTCTCAGAAACTGGATTTCGTTCTTCTCTGAAAATCGCATCTTTACTCCATTTCGCAAAAAAAAAAAAAATTCCAAGATCGCAGTTGTAAAAGCCGAAACTTTGCGGAACCTAGCCTAGATCTCGTTCATAGTACTCTTCTGACATGTCCTAAAAAAAAAAAAAAAAAGGAAGTAGTCCTCTTTTATTTTTTATTTTATTTTTATCTGTTGATTAGGGCCGGAGGGAAGTATTGTTGGGTTGTTTGCCTACCTATGTTCTCCACTCCCACCCACCCCTTTGCATGCATTTCCGGGTTGGTACAGTGACACGTCAGCAGTGCCATGTCAGACAGTGCCACGTCGGACACAGTGCCACGTCAGCAGTGCCACGTCAGCAGTGCCACGTAAGCATTGCCACGTCGGACACAGTGCCATGTAAGCAGTGCCACGTCAGACACAATGCCATGTAAGCAGTGCCACGTCAGACACAGTGCCATGTAAGCAGTGCCACATCAGCAGTGCCACGTCAGACAGTGCCACATCGGACACAGTGCCACGTAAGCAGTGCCACATCAGAAGTGCCACGTCAGCAACATGACGGGCCTGCTAGGCCAACTGGCCAATGAGCCCATTGCGGAGTACAAAAAGCGCTTCCAGGCTCAGCTCGCTGTAATCGAGGCTGAGGAACAACGCCAGCTGGCAGCCAAGGCTGCCCAGCTACAGGCTGACGAAGCGGCAGCAGCAGAGAAGCTCCGGCTACAGGCCGAAGCAGACGCAGATGCCCAGGCTCGCCGCAAGGAAGCCCAGGATGTGCTCCAGCGCCATGAAGCCAGCAGCATCGACAGACTCAAGTTCTGGCACTTTGAACCGAATGGCGACGAGGAAACACCGGAAGAGCAGCATAAGGAGTTCTTGGCCAAGCTAGTGACCAAGTTGGTTTACACGTGTAACCACCTACAGTCCGAGCTGCCGAACCTCCAGCGGGCCGTGCGGAACCATAAGACTCAGCATGAGGATGCCACACGGGCACTGGACGCCCGTGTACAAGACTTGGAACAACTTCCACCAAGACCAGATGCTGGGGCTTCAAACAATGCATCCTCTAGCCGCCAACTGGAGGAACGCGTTGACCACGTGGTGGCAATGCTCGGCAACATCAGCACCTTCACTGCGTCGACCACCATCAGCAGTCAGCTGCATACCTTGAAGACTGAGTTCCAGCAGCTGCAGTCGACGAACGCAGATGGCAATCCGAAGTTGTACAAAATGCCAACTTTCCAACTGGACAGGTTCGACGACTACACGCAGCAGGATCCGGTCCTCTGGTGGGAAGCATTCACAACGCAACTCAGGATTCTGCCCGTCGCCAAGCACGCGTACATCGGCGCCCTGTTCATGAACTCAAAGGGCGGATGCCAGACCTGGTTCACCCACCTGGCAACCTCCCACGGCGTCGACGTACCGGACTTGAAGGACAAAATCACATGGGAGGAACTGACACGGCTATGGAAGAAGCGGTTCATCGTCGACGACGCGCCAACACTCGCCATCAACCGTCTGTTCACCATGTCACAGGGCAACACTGCAACACGGGATTGGCTCACGGAGTGGCAGAAGATTGCGGCAGTGCCCAATCTGGACTTGCCATTCATGCATTTACGTCGTGAGTTCTACAACAGGTCCTGTGCTGCATTGAGCCAGGCTCTTGGTGATCGCGAGCAGTACTCAACCTTCGCTGAGATCATTGACAAGGCGAGGGAAATCATCAAGACCAACAGGTCAGCTGCGCACGAGAAGTCAACATGGCAGCCGACCTATGTGGTGAAGGTACGAACTGGTCTGCGACAGCAGCACTTCGCTGCAGTCCAGTCGATCAGTGGAGATAACCCAGCAGCCACTCCAGCATCAAGTGACGGAGATCAGGTGGCTGTTGTCCAGCCGCGAAGCAACAACAAGTCCCGCAATAATGGGAAGGCAAAATCCGCATCGCAGGCCGGAAATGGACAGCGAGTACAAGTTCCATGGGTCAAGGTCGGCTTGACCGAGGCGGAGTATAATGTCCGCGGCCGCTACGACATCTGCTATTGGTGCAACAGCACCAAGCACAAGACCTCCCTGTGCCAGGATCAGGGCAAGGAGTATGTGCGACCCCGCCTCAACTCGAGAAACTAAGTTCCGCGGAAGGTGAGGCGACTCCACCTTCCACTCCGCCAGATTCGGCCGCCTTGCTAGCGGCCTCCTGCACATCTGGGGAGGATGCGAATGTCGCAGGTTCTCGTTACACTTACGAGGACTATGCTGTCCACTTGGTTCCACCGCTGGACCAACCGCTCCACGTGCAACAACCTACCGCATGCACGGTTTCATCACCATCGGCAACCGATTCGGCAGCTTCGCCGCAATCTATCGTCGGGGATTCGACGTCCTGGTCAAGACTTGAAGAGCTCGACCCGTTGACGTTCACGGACTTCCAGCGGATGCCCGTTCCCTCGACCGGACGATTGCCGAAACCGCATTGCAATGTGCTTATGGCACAATTGCGGGATTACTTGCACACTGCAGTACCAGCTCCGTTGATGGACGCCGGAGCAGAGGTTGTCGACCTTCACGCTTACATCGCGAAGATCGACGCGAGTTCAAGATGCAACGGTACAATGACATCGACGCACCATTGCTATACCTACGCATTCAGATTGGAGAGGCGACCTGCAGTGCCTTGATCGATTGCGGAGCATGTCGCAACTACATCAGCCAGGACTTCATGGTGCGCGCCGGCCTTGGCCCACGCGTCCGGAGGAAGTCCCAGCCTACGCAAGTCACGTTGGCGGACGGTCATACGCACAAGTCCATCGACCGATGCATTGACGCCGTCCCAGTGTACTTTGCCCCTCACGCAAGTGAGGCGGTGTCCTTTGACATTCTGGACACCAAATTCGACATGATCTTGGGCATGTCATGGCTGCGAAGCGAGGATCACCCGGTGAACTTCTTTCACCGCACCGTTCACATCCGTGATCGGAACGGAGTACTAGTTCCATGCACGGTGCCTCTTCCTCATCCTTCGATCAGCTGCCACATGGTATCCGTCACAAGCATGCGAGCTTCCATCATCAGAGACGACGTCGAGGAGATGGGGGTGTGTTTTCTCCACGCCCTTCCGCCCCATGACGCTTCATCGACGGACTCACCTTCGGATCCACGCATCACCGAACTTCTCGACGCCTACAGCGACGTATTCGAAGGCCCGCACGGAGTAGTACCGGATCGACCCATCCGCCACGAGATCATCCTCGAGGACGGGGCCGTACCTCCGCGCGGTTGCATCTACCGAATGAGCGAGGAAGAGTTAAGTGTGCTTCGGGCACAACTCGACGACCTTCTAGAGAAAGTCTGGATTCGGCCTAGCTCATCGCCATACGGTGCTCYTGTTCTCTTCGTCCGGAAGAAGAAATTTGCGGTTGTGCATCGATTATTGCAAGCTCAACGCGCAGACGATCAGAAACGCCGGCCCTCTCCCAAGTATCGACGATCTTCTCGAGCGACTGGGCGGCGCCAAGTTCTTCTCCAAGCTCGATCTCAAGTCAGGATATCACCAACTCGAGATTCTCAAGGAGGACCGTTACAAGACTGCGTTTAAGACGCGATATGGGCATTTCGAATGGCTGGTTATGCCATTTGGCCTTACGAATGCCCCGACCACTTTCCAAGCGTCTATGACAACGGAGTTCCGACACATGCTGGATCGATACGTACTTATCTACCTCGACGACATCCTGGTGTACAGTACAGCCGGAGTTTGGAGGAGCATGTGGAACACTTGCGCAGCGTTTTGGAGCGGCTACGACAAGCCAAGTACAAGGCCAACCGCGACAAGTGCGAATTCACACGACAGGAGTTGGAGTACTTGGGACATTATGTGACGCCGCAAGGCATCCGTCCGCTTGCGGACAAGATCGAGGCCCTACGAGTATGGCCCGAGCCCACCAACACCACGGACGTTCGTTCATTCATGGGATTGGCGGGCTACTATCAACGATTCATCACCGGATACTCAAGGATTGCTGCACCTATGACGAGGTTACAGTCGCCAAAGGTGCCATTCGTATTTGATGACGAGGCACGCCGGTCATTCCAAGCACTTAAGACGGCTATGCTCATGGCACCCGTCCTTAGCATCTACGACCCCCCCCTGCCTACGAGAGTGACTACGGACGCTTCCGACTACGGCATTGGGGCAGTTTTTGAACAGCACGACAACGACGACTAGCACCCTGTGGAGTATTTCAGCCACAAAGTGCCTCCCATCAACTCGCTTGATGATGCAAGGAAGAAGGAGCTTCTCGCATTCGTCATGGCTCTCAAGCGATGGCGGCACTTCCTCCTTGGGCGTCGTAGGTTCACATGGGTTACGGACAACAATCCATCGCAGCACTTCATCGACCAGTTTGACTTCACACCGAAACATCTTCCCGGCCTCTCAAATCGCGCAGCAGATGCACTCTCGCGAAGACTTGATCTTTGCGCTATGACACATCATGCCTTCGCATTCGACGAGGAGCTTCAGCGACACTTCATCCGGGCATATGAGTCTGATCCGGACTTCGCTACGCTGTATGCACAGCTATCTTCGAATCACCCACCGGCCAGCCACTATCGCATTGCCGACGGGTACTTGCTCCGCCACTCGAGAGGCAAGGACTTACTATGTGTCCCACGCGACCGCCGTCTTCGGACTCGCCTCCTCGGCGAGTATCATGATTCGCGACTCGTCGGCCATTTCGGAGTCAACCGCACTATTGCACGGCTTCGACAACGATTCCGATGGCCCGATCTCATTACCGACGTCACTCGGTATTGCGAATCTTGCGAAGTTTGCCGACGCAGCAAGCCCCGCAACCGCAATCCCTACGGCGAGTTACGCCTGATACCTATCCCACGGGAAGCTGGTCTCTCCATTGCCATGGACGTCACCGGTCCCTTTCCTCGCGACCGGCTCGGGCACGACGGCATCCTCACGGTGGTGGACCGATTGAGTGAGTTTGCGTGTTTTCTCCCTTGCAAGTACTACTCCACGGCTCCCGAGTTGGGACGCCTCTTGCACACTGGTTGGATTTGTGGCCACGGTGTAGCAGAAGACATAGTCAGCGACCGCGACACTCGTTTCATGTCAGCATTTTGGACTGCGCTCATGCAGGAGTCCGGCACGACGATGAAACCAAGTTCGGCTCGGCATCCACAGACGGACGGGCAAACGGAGCGGGCACATCAAACCTCTCAAATGATGCTTCGTACGCTCATCCGTCCGGACCAGAAAGATTGGGTTGACCGCCTCCCCAACATCGAGTTCGCCTACAACACTTCGGTGCATCCGGCGATCAGCGTGACTCCATTCGAGTTGCACCACGGTGGACGGAAGGGCCGGATCTTCGCCGACCTTCTCCTCCCTCGACCAGCCAACATTGACGCTGCCTGCTCTCCCGCTTCCGTCCGGAAGTACAGGGAATTGCTGACTCAAGCCCGCGCAAACATGCAAAAGGCTCAAGTCCGCATGCAGCAGCAAGCCAACAGGCGTCGCGTACCATGTCCCATCCGCGCCGGTGATCTGGTTTGGGTCTCCGCGGAAGAATTTGCACTGGAACAGGATGTTTCACGCAAACTGCTTCCCAAGTGGTTTGGACCTTGGTCTGTGACAGCAGCCGCGGGCGATGAGCCCGATGGCCCTTCATTTATGATCAACATTCCAAAGCATCTGACGGTCCATCTGGTCTTCCACGCCTCGAAGCTGGCAACATACACGCCAGCCAAGAGCGACGACTTTCCGGGCCGACGATCGCAGGACCCTCCTTCTATGGATGGTCATCAGGAAGTTGACTGCGTCATCACCGATCGCAAGTACGGCAGCAAGCCGCGGCAGTACAAAGTCACATTCAAAGCATGCGATCGCGACAACACTCGGTGGATTTCAAACGCAGATTTGAAAGCATCCGCACCGCTGATCTACGCGCATTATGAAAAGCGGAGGTTCGCTCAGGAAGCTTCACGACCAGCCCCTCCCACCCGGACTGTGGTCCCTCCCTCAGACAGACAGCTTCGCCCTCGCAGGTAAGCTAGGTTCTTCAAGGAGGGGGGAGTGTTGCATACTGCGTAGCCACACAGGCCCTGCAGGGCCCGTCCCGGACATTCAGCCTAAAAGCCTAAAACTTAGGGCTTACAGCCCCCGGCCGTTTCAGCCTGAAAGCTGAAAAACGAGGGCCTGCAGGCCCTACTCCGTTTCAGCCTATTTCTGGGTCTTTCAGACCCAGAGGTTTTCCAGCCTGAAACGGAGGGCCTTTTTCAGGCCCTCATTGTTTCGACCACCCCTAAGACTCAGGCACGAATACAGGGTTTCGGAACAGGCCAGAAATAGCCTGTTC